TTTCTCAAAATCACATAAAGTCATATTATAACATCGACTGAGATAAAGAATAAAATGAAATATTAAAATCACGATGTATCTCGCTGCATTGCGCGAGTATGCTTCTAGTTTGATACTAATATTTGTAGATTTTTTTCAACATTTTAAGATATTTTCAAATTTATTTTTTATTCAAAAATAAAAACATTATAATTTTTCTCAAAACAACGTAAAATCTTATTATAACATCGACAATGGACAGAATAAAACGAAACATTAAAATCGAGATATATTTCACTGCATTGCGCGTCTATCTTCTAGTATGTATGTTAATAATTTGAATTTCATATAAATTAATCAACAAAATATAAAATGTTATATATATGGACATTCAACAGTTCAACTACAACCCCTCTTGATTATATAATCAATGCAACCTACCTATCCATCATCCATCATCCATTTTCGTTTTCTTTTTTAAGTAAGGGTAGTTACAACCGATTAAATGGTAACCGTTGATAATCAAATTGACRCTCCTAGTTTGATTGTAAGGGTTGTATGAATGTAATGGTTGCATAATAACCCGTCTTAGTGTTAACTTAAATAGACCAATCAGATTTCATCATTCTATTGGTTTCATCCCTCGTTTGTCTTTATGTATAGAGGGTAGTTTTGTTAAAAAAACGTTTAATAGATAAGATATTTAATTTAGAAAAAAAAAACGTTTTAATTGATATTTTCCATAATAATCTTATAGATAATTATGGGCGGTTTTAAATAGCATTTTTTTTTCAAAATTTGTTCATATTCAACATGATTGTTGGTGAAGCGTAAATTATGTAAGAAATATGATCAAAATTGTTCATCYCAGTCAACATTGTTCACCGAACATTGTTCACTTATATTGTTCACAAGTGCAACATTGTCATTAAAGCAACATTATTCACCAAATATTGTTCATAAGGGGACCATGTATATATGTATATGAAATAGGAGTTGACATCTAAATAAAGCTTTTAAAAAACTTTCAAGGACCATATAGGACTGGATTGGAAATCACGAGTTGTTTGTTTGGTGTTTGGCATGACTATAACTAGATTGGACAGAATTGSGTTGGCAAGTCCCTTAAATGTTGTTTGATGATTTATATGGTTGTTATGCATGGTGACAGAATAGGAGGTGGTAACTGTGGCAGAGGTGGATGTAGAGACGATGGTGGCTAATGGTGGTTGTGGAGGACATGGAGGTAGTGGTTATGAATTAGGTAGTGATGGTGGTTTGTGGAAGACGTGGTGGCAGCCGATAATCGTGACTATGGAGATAGAAGTAGTAGTTGTAGAGGGGGTGGAGTTAGTGGACCAGTGATTTTGGAGAAGGTGGTGATGAGTAGTGGTAGCCAATGATGGTGAAAGTGACTATTAAAACAAATATCATATTATGGTTATATTAAACAAATATATGTTAGTAAAAATTTGTTACATCTGTCGTATATGCTTAACCTGTTTTGGTTGAACAAAAAACGTCTTTTTTTGTCCCTTCCAGTCTTTATCTCATGTCACACCAAACTTGGAGCAATGAGTTTATGTTTTGTTCCATGCTGTGTCAAATGTAAAACAATGAATTTTGTCAGGTTTTCTTAATAAAAAATTGTAATAATTTTCCGTTGTCATTTACAATAAAATTACGTCTTGCTTTATTGCATATATACAAAAATAGTATTGTTTACGGACCTTGTTATTTTCATCACGTTACAGCTACAGTTCATATACCAAACACTACACATCTATCGTCTCCATTAACTACAAGGGAATTTCAATTTTTGTCATTTTTCTCCGTTTTAACAGGTTTTTCTTTATTATTTTATTTTTGCTGGTTGAATGAACATGTTTTCCACATGAATAATAAAGAACATTAACAATAAAAAAAAGTCAACAACCTACCACAACGATTTTGTGCAATTTCTTTTCATAAAGCTTGTGATACAGATCCTGAATCAAAAACACAAATCAAGCTCAAAATAAAAACCATAAGTCAAACTTAAATATAACCCATGAATCAATGAAAAAAAACATGATCGATTTATGATGAAAAAAGAGGCAAAAACCACATCTTCTTCAAAGGTCGCGGGAGGTTTGGTTGGGTTGCAAGTGGTGATGTACAAAGGCAGAACACAAAGGAACTGGAGATGCTTCATTCTATTGGGAAAACAACCCCAGTGGCCAAGGCCCCTATAGCCATCTGCCCCTGGCGATGTAAGGGATGGTGAATGGGAGGGGGCAACAATGGAGGAGGAGATCGGTGTAGGGGGAAGCTAAGAGGGAGGTCGTCTCCTATGTTTCTCTCTTTATGTGTGCGTGCATGTGTGTACATATAAGGTTGCGTTCATATGAAACGAGACTATTTGCATGAAATATGTGAGACAACAAAATAATACTGAAACTTTACAGCAAAATACGAAAAACATCGAATCTTCACAGCAAGTACAATTCACTTTTTTTCCCCTGCGATGGTTCAATACTATTTATGTAGTCTCATGGGTCTCACATAATTCCATATATATATATATATATATATATATATATAKAKAGAGAGAGAGAGAGAGAGAAAGAGAGAGAGAGAGAGGAGCGAACATCAAGGACGATGATGTGATATTACCTTCAACTTCTATGAACCCTAAGATCATCAAGGAAATCTTAATCATCATTGTTCCCATCTTGAAGAGCTTAAGAAAAACAAAACAACAACCTCAAAAATCGTTCAAATCAGGTAATAAATGAAGAAAATATGACTAAATGAAGTACTAAAGTTGAATATAATATTTTATGATTTTCTTAAATATTTAAATAATATAATTAATATTGTGATTTTTGAAAGGACAAATTGTATGAGAAAKTAACGTAGTTAATATTTTAGGTAACATATTTTTAAAACTTTCATTTTGGTATATAAGATGTAAAATTTTAAACATTTAAGTATCCGAATAATTGATTGAAGCATTAATCGGTTATCATGCTGATGTAATAATTGATGTGATATCCAACTCAATATTATTTACTRACGTAGTTAGCGACATGAATTTTTTTTAATCTAAAAAATAAAATAAATACAATAGTTGTATATAATTTTTAATATTATATTCAAATTACAATCATATAACGAATCATATTTTCACAAAAGTAATTCATATTGTAATAAGATTTGTATTTTCTGGAAAGTTGAGATCATATTTTGTTTCATCGATCGAAGAACAGGAAGCAAAGAAATGGATTGGGGAACGGTAACAACAGAAGATCTGATCGATGCACTTAGGGAAGTCGATTGGTCGTCTCCTCCTCGTCCTCTCAATGAATTCTTCTCCAAGTTCACCGTCCCTCGTTCCTCCAACAAATGGAACAGTCGCCTTAAGTGTAATCTTTACTAGTATGTTCTTTTTTTCATCTTCATGATATATACATTCGCATTAGTTTGCTTTGCCACTTGTATTTTTGTACTTGAATTCTGATAATTTCTTTTGCTGGCATGGCAATTGAGGTGGAATCGGAATGGGGGAATTTGTTCAGTAGTAAACCCTACATTCCGTAACTGTTGTGATTAATGATCGTTGAACTGTCATATCTTCTGTTGAAATTAAATTGTGGCAACTCCTTGTCTTTTGTGCATTGTTTTATTTCCTTTTGAGTTCGGTAATACTTGGCTTGTATTGGTTTTGAAGATTCTGGCCGATAATATTTGTGTATACTGAGTTTGTTTTTGTTCTAAATTTGTGGATACGAGCTTTGAAATTGTTAGGGTATTTGTTTTGCTTAGTGGAAAAGAGTAAATCCCAAATTTTGCTTATAGATGATGCTTTCATTTATTTGCTTTTCAGCAACCAAACACAGAAAATGAAATGACTAATTATATCTGTTGTGGGGGAACACAAATTGTATGTTTATTTGGAGTCAAGAGTTTAAGTGGGGTTGGGTATATTTGTAATAACTGCGTCAATTTGTTGTTTTTGCAATAGGATTTAGTAAGTAGCTAACAATTTACAAATAATTTTAAGAATTTCTTTTCTTTTTGCAGCTATCGGACAAATTACTTCCTCATGATTCTGTTCATTCTTGGTAAGCCAATAGAAAAGAAAAGGTTAAATTGCTTGATCTATTTTGGAAAGTGCATCCAAATGCTAGGATTATGAATTTGCCATGTGCAGGATTGGGATTTCTCAGGAGACCACTTACTATTGTTGCAGCTACATCGACAGCTCTAACAATAGCTTTCTTGAATGATAGGTACATTGTCACTGTCTCTTCACTTATATAATTATATATACTAATAATTATGGTGATGTAGTTGGTGATGATTGATCAGTTTAGATTTTTATTGATGATCGTCATGCAACCATCTATAATGCACACACATTATTTTCAAGGAAACCTATGGCGTGTGATTTTCATGAGCAATAAAATGTCATAGCCTATAAGAGCTTAAATCTGTATGTGCATTATACAACCCTACTCCATCCATTCCATGCTACTACGGATCCTGCTACTGACAAAGGTTAGGGATTGATTTGAGATGAAATTTCTAGACCAATTGTCTTCTCTAACTTGGACTTCTATTAGGTTGCTTTAACAGTGCGACTTCTCTTAGCAAAGTTTTGACAAGAGTTCTATGAATGTGATTTAATTCTTTTGAATCATGGAACAAAGCCAGATGGATAAGACTTAGGGGACCTGAATATTTTAAAATACTGATGTCGATGCAATCATGCAAGTGCAGAAGTTATTGATCCAACTGTAAACACTATACTTTCCTTTTTTAGGATGTCTCTGGTTTAACTGTCCAAGAGGTTTTTATGTGAGTAGAGAACAACCAAAATTTTCATCACCTTTGGTGAGGCTTGAACCCCTGACCTCCAGGGAGGCTGGGATCAACTTGTAACCCGGGTACTGTTGGGCCAATGACCCTTTAGTAGAGAACAACCAATTGTGGTGGAACACTAACAATAAATTAATAACCAGGATGGCTAGTCAGCTCAGCAAGGAACATTAGTGGGGTGTTTGGTATGAAATGAAGGAAATGTCAATATGATTGGTGGAGCATTGATTGAGATGAATCAAGTAAGGTAATGGACCGTTCACATTCCTTGTAAATGTGCGACTTATATAATCTTGGACTGAAATGAAACAAATTTACGAAAACACCATTATGTCCCATCACACACTTCGGTACACAGTAGGTCCTTCCTTGTTCTTCTTCTGCATTTCCCTTTCATGTCATCAATTTTGTCCATAAACGATTTTGAAATACCCATAAAATACCAAATTTCAGGAATCAAGAAAATAATTAGAAGTTTTTAGATATACCTAACAAGGCGGATACTTCAGATCCTGCTTGGACAAACAGAAGATACTGTCAATAACTAAGGTGTCAAGCCTATAGATCGATATGATAGATGACTGAGCCTTACAAAAGGTTATAGGATTTTCTTTGAACAAGTTATTTGGAAAGACTCGTGAAAATTGTAAAAGTATTTGAAGATATAGTTGCTGAGCACAAATGTTTGTTCCTCCACTTTTAATGTATTTTTCCTTTTGTCGTAAATAGTCATGGAATGTTAATGGAATGCACATGTAGCAAAATTTTGGGAAAATGATCAAAAGCGGGAGTAACATATAATAAAATTTTCAATTGGGAATTCGATGGAGATAAAAAATTTTAGATATTTTTGGAGAACTATGATATGCGTGTTGTTACAATTCAGAAATTAATGAAGAAAGGTAACAGATGATTAAGGGAGAAAGTCGGATGTATGGAATTGAAATGATAAGAAAAGGAAATACATGAACAAAATATCCAGGGAGAATTCCCTCTCTCCAGCTAACGCTAGGAGCCTCTAACAAATTAGACAAATAACAGAATGCCCTCTCCTTTCCCCCA